ATCTTAGCGGGCCATGGCCTACACAAAATGCACACGGGATCGATAAAAACCATCGCCATAAAAATCGAAGTAAATAATCAAAATAAAATCTTGACGACCGCACGTGAAAAGTGCTGTTCGTTGGTTTCTCTTTTTCTTTTTTTTGCCTTAGAGCATCAACTGCCTCAGACGCCATTTCGTGGCGCGCGTGTCTCTCGGCATGCTCCTTTCTGCTCAAGTAATTTTCCAAAAGGTCTATTGGCGACGTGCGCGACCAAAGGCCTCACTCTAATCAGCCTTCCACAATGGACCTTTTCCACATACCGACGGCTCCAGGCGGTGACTGCACGAACTAAAAATCGAGGAAGTGAGCTACCTGCGCTACGAATCGATAATGGGAGCTATGCTAACAGCTTCTTCGTCCACCTAAACGTCGTGTTTGTCCTTTCGTCCACTTTCTTTTTCTTTTTTTTGCGTAACACAATTATATATATGCTGCAATTACGTGTCCTACAAGCTGATCCACAGCCTCCTTCTGAACTTACTCGATTTTTCGTGTCGACTTCCGCCGCTTGGCACCGGGCGCTCGCGGGTGCGCAGAACGCTTCTCGGAAAAGGTCCCTTGGCCTAATGACGTCTTGAGCAGGATTATTTCTGCTCTCATCGACAGAAATAAGAGCAAAGGCGGGTGCTCAACTCTGACGGTGCTGACTTTGGAACGTAATGATCAGGCTTCCACCGCACTTTTTGCGCGCCACCGAACTTATCACTCCCTTCTCATAATCTTGGTCGTGACGTAAGGAATAGGAACCATAAGAGGGCGCCACCGAAACATCTCGTCGCCTATTGACACAGTAAGTGATGACGTCACAACATGGGACTCCGCTTCAAACAAACCATTGCTATACTTTGTCTCATCGTACGATGGACTAAAGGTCAAAGCCACGGGCCGCCAGGTCCAATAGTGTTCCACGCTAAACGATGACATTGTTAACATTCGTTAGGGGTGGACGAATAAGGCTTTGAATCAAAAAGCGCTGCATCATTTCTATAGCTTCGACACCGCAAAGAGCCTGCATGTCGTGGCTTTCTTCGCAATGTCAAATTGTTCAGTCACTCAGGGCTACTCGTTTCGAACCACTGTCCGCACATCCCCATCAGTGATCCGAGACGCGGGCACCGATACGTGCATTGAAGCAAAATACCGCGCAATTTCTAAGTGGCTCGTGATTGGATCTGGAGGCTCGTGGCGTTTTCCTTCAGTCCATCGTAGGGTGAGACGAAGTATAGGGCCGCTCTTATTGACAGCTGCATGGGGGCTCGATGGTAGGTTAGAAATTGTCTGAAAAAAAAAGTAATTATTTTTGGTAAGCATTGCGTACTGCCAATATCTAATCATTAAGACTTTTTCTATCGTCTGAGTACCATGATGCGACGATAAAAGCCCGCAACCAAGTTGCACACCGTTTTTGCCTTGCTAGCAGACGACACGATGGCTTCGCGGGTTCAGAGGTGCTATCTGAGGGAGTACGCGATTGCCTCGAATGAAGTTGGTGACGATCGACGAAACTTCTATTTTCGGGGTCAACTTTCGGTGGGATATTTGGAAGCGAAGACTGCCCATGCACAGCTTTGATTGACACTGGAGGTGTGTAAGCGCGTAAACGCCTTTCCGTGGAGCTCGCTTCCACAATATATCTATTAAAAGCAAAATTGAGGTGTGTATATGTTTATACAGCCTGAACTTAGTCGCTTGCTTCAACGGGCGACTTGTCTCCCAGCTGTAGATAAGGAATTTAGCCAGCGCAGTACAAACCACTAGCCTGGGGTCTTTAACGTGCACCACGCAGTAGTGATACACGACCGCACGCCGGTACGAAGCTCATCCAGATCGAAACGGACAAAAGTGGGGATTGAACCCAGGATCCCTAGGTTCTGCAGCGCGAGCTTTCACTCCACGTGCTCCGAGCTGGTGTGCGCTAGCCCCCTCGGCTGCCGATTCCCCAACCCCAATGTTTGAGAAGGTGAGAACACTATGAAGCCGAATCACGTACGACGACGACGTGAAGTGTATGAAGGTCGAAGTGTACGCCAGAACACGTTTCAAGGATTTCTAACAGCACAGTTCTTCAGTTCGCATTTGTGTGATCAAACGAACTGTCCGTAGCATAAATATATTGCCTCGTGCATGACCCAGAAGGAACGCTTTCTCCTTTACCCCGCACCTCCACCAGAAACATCGCGGATGGAAAACGCTCGGCGAGCGTAAACTGAAAATAAAAGTTTAATTGGCGATCTTGTGCGAGAAACAAGAGAAGGAATTCGTCGAAACAGCAGCAGCGAACGTCGCGGCGTTGGCGTGACAGCTGGTTGGAGCGAGAGTAAATTTCCCTCGTCGTCGAGAGAATTTCGAGTGAGTTGGCAAAGTTCACGCTCGGCATCCAGAGCATTCGACCCAGAATGATCGAGACTGATTAGGCAAGGTCACTCTGGCCTCCTTATCTTTTACACTCAGAGTAAGAGTAAACCCGAATCTTCCAGAATCTGGACGTAAGGGGAAGCGTTTTTTCTCGGACATGCACGCGGCAATATAGCTCACTATAACTCACCCGATCTTGCTATCCAGCTCGTTCGCTATTTGGGGTCTTAATTATAACTGAAAAATCAGTAGGGTTTTTTGGGTTTTTTTTTTTTTTTCTTCAGTGTGATGATTACAAGCAGGCACAAAACACACACCCATATTGCGAGCCGGAAAAACGAAGTCTGGCGCCTGAAACCGCTCACGTTAAACTCAAAATAATTGCTCCTTTATTACAACGCACGTCAACTGCAAAAGCAAAGAAAAAAAAAGAGGGACCGACGTTGTTTTGATATACTACACAGATGCTTTTTCTCGCTGTATTTTAACAGATTTCTATGCGAGTGATGAGTTTTGTCTGACAGTATCGTATCGCAAGCAAATACAATTAGTTCTTTTTTTTTAACCTGGTTAGTTTGTTTAGGCCTGTCATGTGCCAAATAATTACAAAATCAAGATCGTATAATTGTCGAAACAATTGAAAATGTTGCAGACAGCATACTTAAGTCATTCGGTGTGCGTTCGTCATTCGCTTGTTGTCTGCAGTGAGCATATCGAGACGTCTCAAAACCGGAAGTTGTCGTGGCAAATATTTCAGAAACAGCCGATTCTCGGCAAACTTTTGTGGTGGTAATTGTGAAATCTAGGCTTCCTACATATATTTTGTAGACATTTGATTGCCACAACCGATATTCGACCCGTACTTTTTTTTTTCGGAGCGAAATCCAGTCCCATGTATTCGTTCACAGCAACGCTCCTAGCAACGGTTTGTTTAGGGCGGTGACGTCACACTTACGGGGTCAATTGTTTTTTTTTTGTTTTTGTCAATTGCTGGGCTGGGCTTGCTACGTGTGTCACTGCGTTCTTCTTACGAATAGACCTCTTTAGAAAAACTGCCTTCTGTTGGCAGCTGCGGAATCGATGCAAAATGGCGGAGCAAAATTGCAATGTCTTGGCACACTTGGATTAGCAGGCATAAACACACCAAAAGAAAAAGGTAATGAGCGCGTGAGGCAGTGACGTTGCATATTCGACGTTGTTTGCTTGGCTCATTGGATCTTAGCGTTGGCAGCACTCCGACCTTCACTCTCTTATGGAATGACTTGCAAGTTCCACGATGTCAGATATTCCACCATTATTCAGTGGTTCGGACCTCCTAATAATTGGCGCGTGACTTTCGAAAGGGGTCTATTGTCCAATCTCGTATCGAAATTGTGCCAACTTGTGCCAAACGTAACCGAATAGACCGAGTCGTGGCACTGCGTTTTTTGAGTCTGTAAGCACCTGCCCGAGTTCAACTTAGATCTATTGAGCAGTGAAACGGAGTGTTACGCTTGTATAGACCCCTTTCGAAATACTGCCCTCTGTTGGCAGCTGTGGAATCCCTGCACAATGGCAGACTAACGCCGCAACGTCACGGCACACTTTATGCGTTTGGTTGAACCAGAAGAAAAAACAGACCCCCAGAAAAAGGCGATGAGCGCAGTGACGTTGCACTTTCGACGCTGTTTGACTGGCTCGTCGACTCCTAGCATTGACTGCGCTATGACGTTCGCTATCTTATGGAATGACTTGCACGTGTCACGATGTGTGTTGTTCCGCCATTGTGCAGGGGTTCCGACCTTCTAATAATCGGCACGGGAATGTCGAAAGGGGTCTATTGCCTTCCTGTAGGTCTTGCCTTTCAGATTGGTGAGTTCTGCGTGAAGAAACAAAAACAAAAAGAAAGTGGGTTTTATTACGAGATAATGAAAAAAAAAAGAAAGCAACACCCATTAGACACGTGTTTAGGCGCGGTAACTACTCGTGACTGCGCGGCATATATAGCTAGGGTGCGTGAAATTGCCCTTAAACGAGACCAAATTGTACGTAACCGGGAGTGAAAACAAAAAAACAAGTGCGATCATGTTCGCATTTAGTTTTCACACGTCGCGCATAGCGTAATGGTTTCTAATTTTAGGCTGATTGTGCATTGTCCTGCTTCGTCTGGATGAAACATAATTTGCATGAAATTATCAACATATTTGCTCCGCTGGTATTTTGAAGTGACAGAAGTTGGGGTTACATCAGAATAAGTGATTTACAGATAAATATCAAGAGACTACAGAAACATTGTGGACGGAAAATTTCAGACGCATTATTTATTTATTTAATTATTTTACACATAGGGCCAGGGACATTAAAGAGGGGAATGGTAAAAGAACAAACAAAATAACAGTGAAAATACAAAATAGTTAAACAACTGGGAATGCATTGGTTTGGAACATTTGAAGTAATGCTATCCGCAATTGATGTAAGTGATGCTGGTAAATGGTTTTATATAAACAAGGTTCGGCACTGTGCATGCTTCACCTGACAAAAAGTAAATAAGGACGTCAGAAATGTGTTTTTGTTGTTGTTTATTGCCCAGAGGAAAGGCCCGCACGCCTAAGTGGGAAAGGAATTAAAGGAAAGCGGGGAGGCCGGCGGTATGGACGAAGTCTAGAAGGCTTCGAGCGCAGGCGTTGTTGGTCGTCCAGGTCTTGTAGGCCTCCGGATCGTCCCACCGTATCCCCGCCTGGAGGACGTAGTGCTCCCGATCCGCCCGTATCCCCGGGCAGGTCCAGATGAGATGGCGAACATCCACCTGGTCCGCCGGAGCGGGGCAGTGGGGGCAGGCGGGAGGGGTGCGGCTGTGGTCCCCTCGCCAGGATGAGAGGACTGCCGGTGTGATAGCGCATCCAGTGCGAATGCGCCGGAGCAACACCTCCTGGAGCCGGAACAGACCAGGGGGAACCCGGGCGGTGCACGGTGGTATGAGAGCTCGCGTGCTTGCCCGGATCCTGGTCTTAGTGACCAGAAGTGTCGCCACGATGTCCATGGGGAGGGTGTGGCTCTGCAGGTCCTCTGATTGGGCTGCCCGTTTGGCCGCCTCATGAGCCGCTATGTTGCCCTCTGCAGGGCCGTGGCCCTGCACCCAGTCGATGACGACCATGCCCGCGAAATGGTGTCGTAAACGATGGATCTTTTGAACAATGTTCATGGCTTGTTTGGTCTGTTTCAGGTGCCTAATGGCCTGAGCGGAGTCAGTGAAGATGGTCACTTGATCAATGGAGTGATCTTTGGAGGCTGCGAGAAGGGCTTTATAGATGGCTTGTAGCTCAAGCAGCAAAGGAGATGCGTCCGATGTAGCAAACTTCTTCTGGTCGTCAAGGTGGGGATGAGTGCGACTGACGAATGCAGTAGCTCCTCCGTTTTGCGTACACGCAGCGTCCGTGTACAGGATACAGTGATCCGGAGAAGAAGGGTTTGGATTATGAGCCTTGGGATTTTGACGTGCCTTACGGCGGGAGGTCTTATTGGTGGTAAGGCAGGAGAAACTCCAGGGGGGAGCTGCTGTATCTTCTCAATGTATGACGTTTCCTTATGACATTCTGAAGCGTACAGTTGATGTTTGGCAACCCGGGCTTGTGTGCGTTGATCACATAATTGTCGTAGTGTATTCAGGTGAGCATGCTCCTTTAACAGCTTAATAGGCGTATGCATCGGGAGGCCGGTAATGCTGCGCATCGCTGCCCGGTTGACAGTTTCCAGCGAGTTCCATTGCGTCTCTGTCAGGTTCTGAAATTGTGCTTGGTAGATTATCCTAGGCTGTAAAATGACCTTCACGAGGCACGTGGCAATCGCAGAACAAGCACCTCCACGTCTCTGGGAGATGCGTTTGATAAGGTGGAGCATAGAGTGGGCTGATTTATTTATGGATACGAGCCACTCTTTGGCACTGCCGGTCTTGTAGATTTGGAGTCCGAGAATTCTCATAGTTTCAACTTTGGGGAGTGTTTGTTGACCCACCTTCAGATCGAGGTCGTCTGTCCCTAGCTTCTTGCGGGCAGCATTATTGCAGACGCGCATGTAGCAAGATTTAGATGGCGATAATTCCAGGCCAATGGCTTGGGTGTACTGGTGGATAGTGTCCAGCCCTCGTTGAAGTATATCTTGATGTTGAGTGTGGTCCAGATGGGTGGCCCAGAGCGTCACATCGTCAGCGTAGATTAGGAACTTGAGCTGTTTGTGCTGTGCCAATTTCCATGCGAGTTGGATGAATGCAATATTAAAGAGAATGGGCGCGAGGGCAGAGCCTTGGGTCACCCCACTGTTAGCGGTAAAGGGAACAGAATTTTCCCCTGCCACTCGCACCGAGAAGGTGCGGTTGGTCAAGAAGTTGTGGATGGCCTTAATAATCCCATGTGGGAACTGTAAGTTGACCATAGCATCTAAGATGGCGGCATGATGAATATTATCGTACGCCTTCGAGATGTCGGTTGCCACAATACTGCGGATCCATTGGATGCGTCCCGGCACCTTTGTGATGTCTTGGGCCAGTCGATGTAGGCCGTCCTCTGCACCCACCAGCTGTCGGAAGCCAATTTGAGATTCATGGTAGAGTCCTTTCGTTTCAAGCCACCAGTTGATGCGTGAGGCTAGGATGCGCTCGTATATTTTACATATGGTAGGCGTCAGCGATATGGGGCGTAAAGCTGTGAGGTCTTTAGCTGCTTTCCCGGATTTAGGGATCGGAACAATGATAGCATGCTTCCACTCCTGTGGGATTTCCCCATCCGTCCATACTTCATTTAGGACCCCTAAGAGGTTGTCCACCGCCGGCCCCTCAAGGTTCTTGAACACTTCATAAGTAATACCATCATGTCCCGGGGCGGATTTCTTCTTAGTTGCCTCGATTGCAGCGATGAGCTCGGCCTTGGTAATTGGTGATGTTATGCCGCAGTCATCCACAGCGTAGGAAGCCGGGCATGTGGTTGCGGGGCTATCATGTTGTGGGAAAAAGGCCATGGCCGCATGCCTGGCGAAATCCTCGTTGGATAATCCCATGGCCAGTTGTATGTTGCACGGCCGAGGAGTGGCAGCCTTGTTGATTTCCATGGCATGATATGTGCGCCAAAGTTTCTTAGAGGAAGTGGAAGAGCCAAAAGATTCACACCAGTCTCTCCATCGTTGTCCGCTCAGTTGCGTCTCATACTTTTTTGCTTCAGCAGCTAAGCGATTCACCTCCTACTGAAGCTGCTCGTTGTGAGGAAGTGAGCGGGCTTGGAGTTCCGCCTGCTTACGTTGGTCCCAGAGACGAATGAGGTGAAGATCCGGATTTGGCTGATCTTGATTCACTGTTTGTTCAGTGGTATGCTTATGCACAACTTGTTTGAGTTCCAACATAATGGAGGCCGCCGTGGCACCTTCTAAGGTGGTAGAGGTTCGAAGCTCCGTCCAGTTAATCACTTTAGTCATACGGCGCTGTTTCTTGACTAGATGATGGGATAGGTAAATGTGAATAGGCGTGGGATCACTGCCCCAACAGTCCGGTTCCGCTGTTCATCTGGGAAGGCCATGTCCCTGCCACCATGTAAGATCCGGTGTATTAGGAGCCGTGAGCGGACGAGTGGAGACGTGGGCCTCGTTCAGCAGGACGTAAGATGAGTCCCTGAAGCGGCTGTACACCTGTCGGCCTCGACCAGAGTCGGTGGCGTAACCCCAGCTTGTGTGCGGGGCATTGAAGTCGCCACCGACCAGAACTGGCACATGTAGGTATCGCCGACATAGATACTGGATCCAGCCGAAGTTAAGCCGTGCACTCCCGTGTTTTCCGTACACTGACACCAAGATCACCTTAGTTTGCTTGCGTCGGACAAGGACGGCTACCACCTCCTGTCGTTGTGTGCACCACTGTGACGTATCAATCTGCTCTTGCGGAATATCAGTACGGACGTAAATCGCCGCCTTGCCAGGAGCAGTGTCGTCTATTCCAAAGCGCCTGTCAATAATGGAGGGACAGTGATACCCCGTGAATTGATAGAGGTTGGGCAGACCGTGTGTTTCTTGGAGGAGGATTGCCCAGGGCTTGATGATGCCATACTGCATACGAAAGAGAAGCTCGTTGCGCCTGGCAGCGAGGCCTCTGCAGTTCCACTGCAGCACGGTACCTATGGCGATTTTACTCCACAACGTCGTGGGGAGCCTTTCAGGTGTTGGTATATGGCCATGAGAAGCTGGTGGGTTGTCATTTAGACATCCTGAGTGTCGTCGTCAGCACTGAAGTCGTGCTCCTGGCTCTCCCGAGGTCGAGCTGGGGCTATCCGTAGTTGTTGTCGCCTGGCCTGTAGTTGTTGTAGGAGCTCCTGACTTCTGGCGATGTCCCGTGTAAGGCGCTCAATTTGTTGATCAATCTCCGTAGCCGAGGTTTCCTGAGCGGGGGCTCTCTGCATCCGGCGTTGTGACTGCCGTTTGGATTTCACGGTCGCATTTGCGTAGGACAGCGTTGGGAAGTCCCCCCCTTCGTCGGCATCTCCCGGATCAAAATCCAGTAAGGGCAGGAACCTACTCTTCGTCGGCAACTGCCTATTCAGCAGTCGGTTTTGTTGGCGGGAGCGCAGTGTCGCCTGTCGCTTGCGGGGGCAGTTGGGAGACGTGATATGATGGTCATCTGTTTTACATAGACCACATTGATACCGGGGTTGACCGTCCTGTGTGACTAGGTCTGTGTTGGGTTTGGCCTGTGGGCAGTAAGTCTGCATATGCCCTAATTGGCAGCACTTGTAGCATACGATCGTCTTCGGCCGATAGGGCCGGGGGCGGAAAATACCCCCACAGTAGTAAACAATGTCCGAAATGTCCTGGGAGCCCTGTAGCATGAGCAGGTACGTGTCTCGCTTGCCCAGACGGCGCGCAGCTATGACTTTGTGGGACGAGCAGTGAAGATCCGATAGGATGTTCTCACTTGGGTCTTCTGGGTGTAGGCGATAGACCACACATCTTGTAATATCAGGGCCCGATGCCAGATATGCTTGTACCGGGAGCTGCTTTTTCTCAGACAGTGGCAGCGCCGAGAGTTGGCACATCCGCACTGCGTCCTCCAGCGTTGCGACATGCAGCGTGATGGAGTTCGGCGGTCGGTGCACTTCGTAGCCCCGATATCCCGTTGTTTGTAAGCCTTGATTAGTAACCGTTTGCAGCACCTTACCCGGCACCTGTGTCATGTCGAACGGCTCTCGTGGCCGGACGTTGACTCGGTAGGATAAGGCCGGCGACGGTGTGCGGTAGACCTGCAGCGGCGGCGAGTGTCGCTGTGCTGGGGACCCGGCGCCCGTCGGCGCGGCGGAACCATTTGGCGTTAACGTAAAGCCAGCTGCAGCTGACTCATCCGCATCGGCTTGCGATACCTCCATGGCGGGATAGACGGCGTCGTTGGCGCTAAAGTTCCCGGCGGCGCCGGGTCCTGCCGCCGCAACGTTCACATCGGCCACGCTAGGCCTACTCTCCAGACCGGATTCAGAACCCTCCTCGGAGGTCGATCCGCCGGAGCACGACTTGAGCTTACGTGAGTCCGGAGGGTCTTTACCGTTCTTCCTGACGCCTTCGGTGTCGTAAGGGTGACTAAGTCGGAGTTTTCGATCCAAAAACACAGAGCTCGACGTAGATGCGGCTTCCTTCATGGGCAATTGCAGCGCCTCCTTCCAGAAATGTTTTACTACGATTTCGCATTTTGCGCCGGTTTCGCTAGAACACGTGACATTCAGACGCAAATGGCGTTGTTGCCCATCATTCACTTTTCGGTTTTGAAAAATAAAACTACGGTTTACAGTAATAGGCTTGGTTTTGAATCGTACTTAGAGTAAAATGTTAGATGACACATATATAATATGTAACTTTGTTTACTCAAGCCAACCATCGCGTACTCACAAGTTATTTTGATACACCATAAAGGCACGCAATACAGTGCAGCGAAAGAAAATCAAATGTATTTGATAAAAAAGAAAGAGACAAAATCACACCTAAATTAATTACCACAATTAGCAATACATTCTTAAAGCTGGCAGTTCGCCTATCTACACTGTGGGAGCTCTCTGTGTTACTGTACACCTTCTGAACACCCTCTTTTATTCCTGCGTAGTTTCATTTGAATTCGAACATGTGTGTCAGGGTGGGGATTTTGATTTGCAAGAAACGAATGTATGTAATAGCCTTGAATTCTATAATAAACAAAGCCACTCTTCAAAATATTTGTTAGAAATTTATTTTTTCCACGAAAACAACGTGAAATGCTACATTTCGGCTGCATGATTTTTGTACCCAGTTCTGTCAGTCGTTATAAATCGGTAAAACAAAAACTCTAAAAATAACTTATCTTATACGTGCATAACAAGAGGTCTATTTTTTCCAAACTTGACTGCTTAATTTTGCGTTTTTTATGACAGAAATCTTTAAACAAAATGCCAAACAATCTACCTTTGATATTTTTCTGACATATTTGATGCTTTGTATCTTATGATTCATCGCAAATATTGCATAAAAATACTGTACACCTGAATTCCTACACATGTGCAATCAACTGATGCTACTTTATTTTCTTGAAAATATTTATATTTATTTTTAAATTTCATTCATTTTGAACCCGTTCCATTAAAAGTAATATTGGTTCCCCCTTTTTGTATTATTTCCATTAATGTTAGATTTTTATTAGCTTACAGTTTTCCCTTTGATGACTTCTGTAGAAGTGATCAAACACAGATCAACAGACCCGAATCGATCAAATGCTATTTCACAAGTTAGCTTTACTGCAAGGCGTTCTAGGCATTAAATGCTAAGGGCAGTGGCGTTGCAGATGTTTGGGAGGTGAAGGGCTGGCGGCAGCTGGCATGGAGAAGAGAAGGTGAACGTGCCGCCATTAGAAAGGAAATCCCCCCCCCCCCCCCCCCTCCGCTCGCTGTTGCAACACCACTGGCTACGCGTGCTTTTCCTTTTCAATTAGGATATTGCTGTGTTATCTAAATTTAGTACCGCGTAACCTCCCTACCTTTGTAAGAAGGGGCCCCCCCTTCCCACAAAAAAAAAAAAAAATCTTCTTTTTTTTATTGGAAAATTAAAACCGCCGAACGCTCACCATTTCCCCAAATGTAGCGCAAGCGGTTCATATCAGATGCCAAGTTTCCGCACTAACCATTATCTTATTCAGAAGTTCTGTGGGTTTTTTTTTTCTTTTTTTTTTTATTTTCAATGGAAATATGGGGCCGATTTTCGCCCGTTTTCGGTAACTGGTGCCGTACAGCTCCGTGTGTTCGAGAGCTCTGTCCGCCGTCATTTTCACCTTGATAATTTAAGAAGATCACGCGTAACCTTTAAATAAAATAACGCTTAGCGCTGATATTTGGACCTCTGGTTCGGACTGCGAGCGCTACATTTGGGCGTAGAATGAGCGTTCAGCGATGCATAGCTGCTTTTAAAAGTTAAAAAACAAAGCACCTCGTTTTTTGTTCTTGTTTCTTTTGGAGAGGGGTTGGGGGTGGGGGTACACTTTGTATATATAATACTTTAGTATATCTCTTCTTGTTTATGTTTTTTCTTCTGCTTGTTGTGTCATTTTTTTTTTTCAAATAGTGTACGACTCGATCCTAAGGGTCGTTATAAAACCAGACGACGAGATTTACAACCGGTAGACCTGACGTTGTAGCTAGCATTACAGTCCCCTGCCTCAGTTATTTTTGTTTTTTTGTTTTTTTTCATTAAAAGTTGTTTGTGCCCGGCCAGTTTTATCAATGGCCGAAGTTTACGGATTTGCTTGAGCCTACTTCGGATGGTTGACACGAAAAGAAGATATAGCGAAGTGAACGTTTGCGCTCTGCAAACTATCTCAACGTGGATCATGCTGAGGTCAACCTTGTCCCCTTACAGCGCTGCTGCGATTCGGAATACTGGCATAATCTGGCAGGATTGTTTCGAACGCCCGGGGGAGAAACTTCCAGCGTCCTGTGCCAACGTGTTGAGCTCGAGCTCGTGTCCAAGTGCTGTTTCCGAGCATGATGTGCTTAAAAACTGAGGAAGGAATTCCTGGCAGTGGGCTAGACACGACTCCACGGATATTTACGTCGGCGAAA